TTTTCGCACCGCCAATCCAGAGGTAATCTTACTCCAATATGTAGATGACCTCCTGCTGGCCGCAGAGACTGAGCAAAAATGCCTCAGAGGGACTCGAGCCCTACTCACCAGATTAGGTGAACTGGGCTACAGGGCATCTGCTAAAAAGGCACAGATCTGCAAGAAGCAAGTAGCCTACCTGGGGTACCTCTTGGAGGGTGGACAGAGATGGTTAACAGACAGTCGGAAGCAGGCCGTGGCACAAATTCCCCCTCCCAAAGGGGCGCGAGAGGTCCGAGAGTTTCTGGGAACTGCCGGTTTCTGTAGGTTATGGATACCGGGTTTCGCTGAAATGGCCGCCCCACTGTATCCGCTTACCAAAGCCAACGTCCCTTTCTTCTGGGGAGAGGACCAACAACGGGCTTTTGATAAAATAAAAAGGGCCCTCCTTTCGGCCCCTGCTTTGAGTCTCCCTGATGTCACCAAACCATTCACCTTATACGTAGATGAGAACAAGGGAGTAGCAAAAGGGGTGCTGACTCAGAAACTGGGACCCTGGAAAAAACCAGTGGCTTACATCTCCAAAAAGATGGACAATGTGGTGACAGGATGGCCCCCTTGCCTCCGTATGGTAGCAGCTGTAGCTACCCTGGTCAAAGATGCAGACAAATTGACTCTGGGCCAACCGCTGACTATAATAGCACCTCATGCTTTAGAGACTATAATTCGTCAACCCCCTGATAGATGGCTCTCGAATGCCCGTATAACCCACTACCAGTCGTTATTGCTCAACCCTGAACGTATCACATTTGGAAATGCGACGTTACTGAACCCCGCTACCTTGCTCCCCAATTCGGAACCCACTGTTTGGGTACCTCATGACTGTCATCAGATATTGGCAGAATACCACGGGACCAGGGAGGATTTGACTGATTGCCGGCTCCCTGATGCAGATTATACCTGGTTCACAGACGGCAGCAGCTTCTTTAAAGAAGGTGAGCGAAAGGCGGGGGCGGCGGTGGTGGATGGACAAAATACCATATGGGCACAGGCATTGCCCCCAGGAACCTCTGCCCAGAAGGCAGAATTAATAGCCCTGACTAAGGCTTTAGAACTAGCAAAGGGACAAAAAGTAAACATATATACAGACAGCCGTTATGCATTTGCAACGGCCCATGTCCATGGGGAAATTTATAAAAGAAGAGGACTGCTAACTTCTGCTGGAAAAGAAATTAAAAATAAGACTGAAATCCTGGGACTATTAAAGGCCCTCTTCTTACCCAAGAAGGTGAGCATTATTCATTGCCCAGGACATCAGAAGGGCAATGATCCTATTGCCAAAGGAAATCAGATGGCAGATGAGATGGCTAAAAAGGCTGCGCTTAACTCAGAAATATTATCCTTGGCAGAGGCACCACCCTCCACAGAAGATCATTTCCAATATTCAACCCAGGATCTAGAGACTATTCAGAAACTTAATGCAGACTTTGATGAACAACAAAAAGCTTGGAAATATCAGGGCAAAACCATGTTGCCCAAGAAAGATGCTTTTGAACTGGTCACTCAAATGCATCGATGGACTCATTTAGGACATAAAAAGATTAAATCTCTTATAAAAAAGACAGATTTTTATATTCCAGGTCTTAACTCACTCATACAGCAAGTGACATCAACTTGTGTCCCCTGTGCCAAGGTAAACGCAAAACGGCAAAGTGCCCCAGAGGGCATAAGAATAAGGGGAGACCGACCTGGTACTCATTGGGAAGTGGATTTTACTGAAATAAGGCCAGGAAAATATGGTAATAAATATCTCCTAGTTTTTATAGACACCTTCTCCGGTTGGACTGAAGCTTTCCCCACCAAACGAGAAACGGCTCAAATGGTGGTGAAGAAGATACTAGAAGATATTTTTCCTCGGTTTGGCCTGCCTAAGGTAATCGGGTCTGACAACGGCCCAGCCTTTGTCTCCCAGGTAAGTCAGGGTATGGCCAAGACACTGGGGATTAATTGGAAATTACATTGTGCATACAGACCCCAGAGTTCAGGACAGGTAGAAAGGATGAATAGAACCATAAAGGAGACTTTATCCAAATTAGCTTTGGAATCTGGCGTTAGAGACTGGGTACAGCTCCTTCCCCTAGCCCTGTTCCGGGTGCGGAACACCCCTTCTCGGCTTGGACTTACTCCCTATGAGATCCTATATGGGGGGCCTCCCCCATTGGCCTCCTTTAGGGCCCCTCCTGACCCCGCTACTCACAAACCTGATTTGCAGGCGCGGCTAAAAGCACTTCAGATCGTCCAGGCCCAAGTGTGGAGACCCCTAGCTGCTGCCTACCAGCCTGGGCATCCGGAGATCTCGCACCCGTTCCAGGTTGGCGATTCTGTGTACGTGCGGAGACATCGGTCCCAGAACCTTGAACCTCGCTGGAAGGGACCCTACACCGTGCTTCTTACGACACCTACTGCCCTCAAAGTGGACGGTATTGCAGCCTGGATCCACGCGTCTCACGTCAAGCCGGCACCTCCACAGGACGACCCAGAACTTTCCAAATGGAAGCTTCAGCGTACCCAAAATCCTCTAAAACTGAGACTAGTCAAGGAAGCCTGATCCTGTCAAGCTTGCTGTTCTTTGCCCTGGTGTTTCCCTCCACATATAGTGCTAAGAACCCCCATACACCTCAGAACTTAACTTGGACTCTGACTAACTTTGAGACTGGGCAAGTCTTGAGGCTAGCCACTGGAGTTCATCCCCTAGGTACCTGGTTCCCCCAGCTAAAGTTTGACCTATGTGCCCTAGCAAAAGACTCTTGGGGAGATACTGAACGAACTCCCGAGAACTCTTATCCTACATGCAGATATTCTGAATGGTATATTTGTCCTGGGGGAAGACGAACTTGGCAATGTGGGGGGGCTGAAGTATTTTATTGTGCTGCCTGGGGATGTGAAACCAGTGTCAGTACCTCCTGGTTGGGGGCTAGCAAAGAAGACTTAGTCACTTTCACTCGTACCACATCAGGGGAATCTGAAATCACAATCACCTTCACGGAGAAGGGAAAAAAGGTTAGTTGGTTAACAGGCAATATATGGGGTTTACGGTTGTATAATCCAGGAGGGGAAGACATAGGAATTCTGTTCACCCTAAGAATTGTTATAACACCTCCCATGACCATGGCACTAGGGCCCAACCCGGTATTGCCTGACCAGGGACAGCTAGCCCTGGCTGAGGTCCCCCCCCCTTGCCAGGGCCTTGGGTCCCCCTTCAAGTCCTAAAAATCTTCCTGCTACCCCTGCTTCACCGCTGGCACTCTCTAATACAGGCCAGCGATTGTTTAATCTAATAGTGGGAGCTTTTTCTTTGCTGAATAGTACTGACCCCAATATGACAGAATCTTGCTGGCTATGCCTATCAGCAGGACCCCCATACTATGAAGGGATTGCAATATCTGGGGGTTTCAATAACACAACTAGCCAGGAGGGCTGCGCTTGGGGAGTTAGTCATAGACTAACTCTTACAGAGGTTACTGGTGCAGGGACATGCTTGGGAAATCCACCGGCTGCTTACAAACATTTATGTAATGAGACCCTTAAGAGCCCTAAAACTGCTAAAACTGGATACCTGATCCCCGATTCAGATAAATGGTGGGCTTGTAGTACAGGCCTGACGCCTTGCGTGGCAACATCAGTTTTTGATGGTACCAAAGATTACTGTGTGCTTGTTCGACTAGTTCCAAGGGTCATTTATTATCCTGCTAACACATTTGAGGATGAATTTGACAGGCACTCGAGCCGTTATCGGCGAGAGCCCATCTCTATGACTCTAGCAGTGATCTTGGGCCTTGGGGTGGCAGCTGGTGTTGGCACCGGTACTACTGCTCTAGTGCAGAGTTCCAAAATTCCCCAACATTTTGAGGAATTAAGAGCAGCTATTGACCAGGACTTAAGGGCCCTAGAACAATCTATCACCAAGCTTGCAGATTCAATAATCTCTCTTTCCGAGGTAGTGTTACAAAATAGGCGCGGGTTAGACTTGCTATTTCTTCAAGAAGGAGGACTCTGTGCTGCCCTAAAGGAACAATGTTGTTTCTACGTAGACCACTCTGGGGTAATTAAAGATTCGATGGCTAAGCTCAGAGAGAGGTTAGACAAGAGACAGAGAGAGAGAGAGGCACATCAAAATTGGTTTGAAGGCTGGTTTAACCGCTCCCCCTGGTTCACGACACTCATTTCCACCATCACTGGTCCCTTGATCATTCTATTACTCATCCTAACCTTTGGGCCCTGCATCCTCAATCGACTCCTGATGTTCATTCGTGAGCGACTTAGCATTACTCAAGCTTTGGTGTTGACCCAGCAATATCATGCCCTTAGGGATAATCCCTGAGAATCTCAAGATTGAGATTCGACCAAATCAAAGGGGGGAAATGAAAGACTTTGAGACACCTTAGCACTACTGCACCCCCCATCCTGGGAACCAGGCCTCTAGCATTAGGAGGCACCTTAGCACTACTGCACCCCCCTTCCTGGGAACCAGGTCCCTAGTAACCAGCCACGCGTGCACGGGAGCTTTGAGTACTTTCCATCCCCATTGTAGTCTTTCTCCAATAGACCCGGACCCTGGAACTGGGGTGAGACGACCTGCAGGTGTTCCTCCTTGTAACCGCCATAACATTGATCAAGTAGAGTTAGCTGACCATTGTATGAACTAGTCAAAACAGTTGACAAATGATTTTTGGACTTTCCCTTTGATTCTGTACTACCCCCTCCCTGAATTTGTGGTTTTTTCCTTTAAAAGAGCTTGTAATAGACAAAGCAGGGTCCTTCTCCTCTCGAGGCTGAGGGACCTCTGCCGTGGCAGAATAAAAATTCCTCTTGCTATTGCATCAACCGTGCTGTGAGTGTCTCTTGGGGCGACCTCCTCCTTGGTGGGGCTTTAGGGCCCAACATTTGGTGCGTTGGCCGGGAAGTGCTGGTCGCCCTCAGACCCATTCCTGACCCGGTTGGAGGTAAGAGCGCGCTTGTCTGAATGTTTTATGTTCGTCTATTTCTGTTATTGTGCCTTATGTTTATGATCATCAGGGATTTGGAGGAACATTGTACCTGCGCAGGGCTAGTATTTGAAAGGGACCAGGCAGTGGGACAGACGTGTCCGGGAACACTCCCTGGCCCAGCCGTGGAGGACGCTTCACAGGCAATTTGTGAAACTAGGAGCGACCAGGTCATCTTAGTTTCTAGAGAGTGTGGTTCTTATCGCCCACTCCCTTCCAGGTTTGTAATATCAGTTTTACATCAGTCTGTTGCCGCGCGGCTCTCGGTCTTGAGTCTGTGTCTGTCATTTTGTATTGTTGTTTTTGTCTTTGTGTTTGTTTTTGAGTTGGAATCTAGTACAATGGGACAACAAATAACCACCCCCTTAACTTTGACTTTAGACCACTGGAAAGAGGTTGAGGACAGAGCTCACAACCAGTCTATGGTAATCCGAAAGAAACGCTGGCAAGCGTTCTGTTCCGTGGAATGGCCCACTTTCGGAGTGGGCTGGCCACAGGACGGAACATTTAATCTGAATATTATTTTGCAGGTTAAGACAAGAGTCTTTCAGCCTGGCCAGCAGGGCCATCCTGATCAAGTTCCTTACATCGTAACTTGGGAGAGCTTGTCCAGAGACCCTCCGCCCTGGGTCAAACCATTTGTCCTGCCTGCGGGAGCCGGAAACCCAGTACCAGCTCCCTGGCCCTCCACCACCCCTTTGACTCCGAGGGCGGCAGCAACCCCAACTGCCCCTCCCCTGGACCCGTTGTCCTCTCTCTTCCCCATGCAGGAGCGACCGAAACAGAAGTCCCAGACCCAGACACCACCAATCCTCTCTGACAATCAGTCAGACCTCCTGCTTTTTGACCCTCCTCCTCCTTATCCCCGGCCTCTTCTGCCCCAGGCCGAGGCAGCCCCCCTCGCGCCTGTTCCTGGGGAACCTGCTGAACCTGATATAGACCCTGACAGGCCCCCTAGCCCTGACACGACTGATACTGCTGAGGGGGGGCCTAACTCGCAGCCAGCAGGCCGGCTGCGGCTCCGCAGAGGGACATCTGCAAGGGAAAGGTGGACTTCCCAGGCACTACCCCTCCGCTCAATGGCTGACCAATTTCAATACTGGCCTTTTTCAGCCTCTGATCTTTATAACTGGAAACTTCATAACCCCTCCTTTTCCCAGGACCCCCAGGCCCTTACTGCCCTTATAGAATCTGTTCTGATTACTCACCAGCCCACTTGGGATGATTGCCAACAGCTTTTGCAGATACTTCTCACTACAGAGGAGAAACAGCGTGTTTTCCTTGAAGCTCGGAAGAATGTCCTGGGAGCTGACGGAAGGCCAACCCAGTTGCCAAATGAGATAGAGGATGCCTTCCCTTTGACCCGACCCAATTGGGACTTCAATACTCCAGCTGGTAGGGAGCGACTTCGTCTCTACCGTCAGATTCTGTTAGCGGGTCTCCAAGGGGCTGGCAGACGGCCCACTAATTTGGCTAAGGTAAGAGCAATAATACAGGGGCCTGAGGAAACACCTGCAGGATTTCTAGAAAGGCTATTGGAGGGGTACAGAATGTACACCCCTTTTGATCCCATGGCAGCGGATCGCCAGGCTGATATAATAATGTCTTTTATAAGCCAGTCAGCACCTGATATTCGTAGCAAGCTGCAGAGGATGGAGGGACTGCAGGGTTACTCCCTCCAAGATTTAGTAAAGGAGGCAGAGAGAATTTTTAACAAAAGAGAGACACCAGAGGAAAAGGAAGAAAGAAGGCGCAAGGAACAGGAAGAGAGAGAGGACAAACGAGATAAAAAGCGTAGTCGTGAGTTAAGTAAGATCTTGGCCACAACAGTACGCAGTATAGAGCAACCTAAGAAGCGCCAGGACAAGGATAGGGGAGACAAAAGGCGGCCACGAGTGGACCGAGATCAATGTGCCTATTGCAAAGAAAGAGGACATTGGATCAAGGACTGCCCAAAACGTCCAGCTGAACCCAAGAAAAAGCCAGTTCCTGTCCTAGCCCTGGAAGACAGTGATTAGGACAGTCAGGGCTCAGAGCCCCCCCCTGAGCCCCGGGTAACCCTTCTAGTGGGGGGGCACCCTACCACATTTTTGGTAGATACTGGAGCCCAGCATTCGGTCCTCACACAAGCAAATGGACCTTTGAGTTCAAAAACCTCTTGGGTTCAGGGGGCCACCGGGGGAAAAATATACCGATGGACCACAGAAAGAAAAGTTAATTTAAACACTGGTCAAGTGACTCATTCCTTCCTCATGGTGCCAGAATGCCCCTACCCATTGCTGGGCAGAGACCTCCTGTCCAAAGTTGGGGCACAAATTCACTTCTCAGAAAATGGGGCCTCAGTTACTGACAATACTGGCCAGGCTCTTCAAATTCTAACTTTAAGATTGGAGGACGAACACAGACTGTTTGAACTGCCTCCTCCCCCGGAGCTGCCCATCGATAACAAATGGCTCCGTGATTTCCCCCAGGCCTGGGCGGAAACCGCAGGTATGGGGCTGGCAAGCAATCAACCTCCTTTGATAATAGAGTTAAAACCATCAGCCACTCCAGTTTCCATAAGACAATACCCCATGAGCCGCGAGGCCCGAGAAGGAATCAGGCCCCACATTCAGAGACTTTTAACATTGGGCATCTTAAAGGCCTGCCATTCCCCCTGGAACACACCTCTTCTCCCAGTAAAGAAGCCAGGCACAGGGGACTACAGACCAGTCCAAGACTTAAGGGAAGTTAATCGCCGCACTCTAGACATTCATCCTACGGTGCCCAATCCTTATAATCTCTTAAGTACCCTGCCTCCGACCCATGTATGGTACTCAGTACTTGATTTAAAAGATGCTTTTTTCTGTCTGAGACTTAGCCCTCAGAGCCAGCCATTGTTTGCCTTTGAATGGAAAGATCCTGATTCAGGAGTTTCTGGGCAGCTCACCTGGACGAGACTACCCCAGGGATTCAAGAATTCTCCAACTCTATTTGATGAGGCCCTACACCAGGATCTGGCCAGTTTTCGCACCGCCAATCCAGAGGTAATCTTACTCCAATATGTAGATGACCTCCTGCTGGCCGCAGAGACTGAGCAAAAATGCCTCAGAGGGACTCGAGCCCTACTCACCAGATTAGGTGAACTGGGCTACAGGGCATCTGCTAAAAAGGCACAGATCTGCAAGAAGCAAGTAGCCTACCTGGGGTACCTCTTGGAGGGTGGACAGAGATGGTTAACAGACAGTCGGAAGCAGGCCGTGGCACAAATTCCCCCTCCCAAAGGGGCGCGAGAGGTCCGAGAGTTTCTGGGAACTGCCGGTTTCTGTAGGTTATGGATACCGGGTTTCGCTGAAATGGCCACCCCACTGTATCTGCTTACCAAAGCCAACGTCCCTTTCTTCTGGGGAGAGGACCAACAACGGGCTTTTGATAAAATAAAAAGGGCCCTCCTTTTGGCCCCTGCTTTGAGTCTCCCTGATGTCACCAAACAATTCACCTTATACATAGACGAGAACAAGGGAGTAGCAAAAGGGGTGCTGACTCAGAAACTGGGACCCTGGAAAAAGCCAGTGGCCTACATCTCCAAAAAGATGGACAATGTGGTGACAGGATGGCCCCCTTGCCTCTGTATGGTAGCAGCTGTAGCTACCCTGGTCAAAGATGCAGATAAATTGACTCTGGGCCAACCGCTGACTATAATAGCACCTCATGCTTTAGAGACTGTAATTCGTCAAACCCCTGATAGATGGCTCTCCAGTGCCCGTATAACCCACTACCAGTTGCTATTGCTCAACCCTGAACATATCACATTTGGAAATGCGACGTTACTGAACCCCGCTACCTTGCTCCCCAATTCGGAACCCACTGTTTGGGTACCTCATGACTGTCATCAGATATTGGCAGAATACCACGGGACCAGGGATGATTTGACTGATTGCCGGCTCCCTGATGCAGATTATACCTGGTTCACAGATGGCAGCAGCTTCTTCAAAGAAGGTGAGCGAAAGGCTGGGGCGGCGGTGGTGGATGGACAAAATACCATATGGGCACAGGCATTGCCCCCAGGAACCTCTGCCCAGAAGGCAGAATTAATAGCCCTGACTAAGGCTTTAGAGCTAGCAAAGGGACAAAAAGTAAACATATATATAGACAGCCGTTATGCATTTGCAACAGCCCACGTCCATGGGGAAATTTATAGAAAAAGAGGGCTGCTAACTTCTGCTGGAAAAAAAATTAAAAATAAGACTGAAATCCTGGGACTATTAAAGGCCCTCTTCCTACCCAAGAAGGTGAGCATTATTCATTGCCCAGGACATCAGAAGGGCAATGATCCTATTGCCAAAGGAAACCAGATGGCAGATGAGATGGCTAAAAAGGCCGCGCTTAACTCAAAAATATTATCCTTGGCAGAGACACCACCCTCCATTGGAAGATCATTTCCAATATTCAACCCAGGATCTAGAGACTATTCAGAAACTTAATGCAGACTTTGATGAACAACAAAAAGCTTGGAAATATCAGGGCAAAACCATGTTGCCCAAGAAAGAAGCTTTTGAGCTGGTCACTCAAAGGCATCAGTGGACTCATTTAGGACATAAAAAGATTAAAGCGCTTATAAAAAAAGACAGATTTTTATATTCCAGGTCTTAACTCACTCATACAGCAGGTGACATCAACTTGTGTCCCCGTGCCAAAATAAACGCAAAACGGCAAAGTGCCCCTGAGGGCATAAGAATAAGGGGAGACCGACCTGGTACTCATTGGGAAGTGGACTTTACTAAAATAAGGCCAGAAAAATATGGTAATAAATATCTCCTAGTTTTTATAGACACCTTCTCCGGTTGGACTGAAGCTTTCCCCACCAAACGAGAAACGGCTCAAATGGTGGTGAAGAAGATACTAGAAGATATTTTTCCTCGGTTTGGCCTGCCCAAGGTAATCTGGTCTGACAACGGCCCGGCCTTTGTCTCCCAGGTAAGTCAGGGTTTGGCCAAGACACTGGGGATTAATTGGAAATTACATTGTGCATACAGACCCCAGAATTCAGTACCGGTAGAAAGGATAAATAGAACCATGGAGGAGACTTTATCCAAATTAGCTTTGGAATCTGGCGTTAGAGACTGGGTACAGCTCCTTCCCCTAGCCCTGTTCCGGGTGCGGAACACCCCTTCTCGGCTTGGACTTACTCCCTATGAGATCCTATATGGGGGGCCTCCCCCATTGGCCTCCTTTAGGGCCCCTCCTGACCCCGCTACTCACAAACCTGATTTGCAGGCGCTGCTAAAAGCACTTCAGATCGTCCAGGCCCAAGTGTGGAGACCCCTAGCTGCTGCCTACCAGCCTGGGCATCCGGAGATCTCGCACCCGTTCCAGGTTGGCGATTCTGTGTACGTGCGGAGACATCGGTCCCAAAACCTTGAACCTCGCTGGAAGGGACCCTACACCGTGCTTCTTACGACACCTACTGCCCTCAAAGTGGACGGTATTGCAGCCTGGATCCACGCGTCTCACGTCAAGCCGGCA